GAGAATTGAGACAATAAATTAATTTTTAAATTCACTGAAGTAGACACAGGGAAAAATTTTGTAAAAGTAGGATATGTTCATTATGAAGGGATAACCAGAGTAATTGGGGTGGGTGGTCTTGCTTTTGAATAAAATCTGAGATTATTGCCATGACAGTCTACTTTGTTTTGGTTTTGGAAAGCTGACCCTAAAAATATTCACAGGCAAGCATAAAAATTCTCTTTACTTTGATTGAAAATGCAACTGATGACAAAAAGGACAAAGCAACTAACTGTGCATTTCAAGACATTCTAAATAGCTGTCACATATACTGGCATAGAACAAAAGTGATACTTTGAGGGAATAAAAAGTAATTTAAGAGAGAGTTTATAATTCTTAGTTAAGAAGCTGTCTTTAGTTGCTTGATTTCTGAATTTTTGTGAACCACATGCCCTTCTCTGAGCAAAAACTAATTTTCCCGTTGAGTAAACCATCTTCATTGGCTGCTTGACTCAGACCACTATTGCCTTGGAAGAATAATCCTGATAGCAGGTATTGTTAAATGGCAGGAGAATGGCAGGCTAGATCACACTTAAAAAGAGATGTGAACATGGGAAGTCTTGAAAACAGGTTGGTAATATAATTGTTTTAAAGATATTTCAGTATAATAGAATTTAGAATTTTCATAGAATTTTAGTATGACTTAGGCAGCTCCCAAATTAGAAACATGTTCTATCTAAAAAACTGGAAAGTAGTTTGTTTGGAATTTGGAACAATTTCCAAATGACATTATCGTATTTATAACGTTCTGAGGTTTCTAAGAAATTTTAAAATTTCTGAATCCATAGAAAATTTACAAAATCCTTAAGATAACCAAAATACCAGGTCTTTACTTGGAAAAGGAAGAAAAAAATCTTTCATAATGAAAAGTTTCTATTTGATGGAATGTGAAAGTACACAGTGGGACTGGGTCCTATTTCATTACTAGCTGTGTGGTCTTAGACAATTCATTTACCTTCCCCAATTTCAGTTTCCTCAATAGTAAACAGGTGGTGTTGATTAACAATGTTTAACTTATAAAGTGTTGAAGAGCACTGGAAACAACGCCTGTAAACTTTCCTTCCCTCACAGGGCAGGGTGCTGTCAGTATTGTAACGTAGATTATTCATTTATTAACCATCCACCCTCTATCAGGAAGAATACTAGGAATTTCCGTGTTTTCCATTTAATCATCAAAATAATCCTATGTGGTAGGTGTTTCTATTTTCCTTTTTGTAAGTAAAAATTTGTAAGTAAAACTTTTTGTAAGTAAAAATCAAGTAAAATTAAGTAAAAATCAAATTTGTAAGTAAAACTTTTTGTAAGTAAAAATCAAAAAAAGGAAATGGTTTAAAATTTTAATATGAAAAACTAGTCCCTAAGGAAAAACATAGATTTAAGTAGAAAAGGTTGATAACTCTTGGCCAACATTAGTTATATCATATTTATAACTATTTTCTCACTGATCCTTGCAGCTACCCTATGAGACTGGAATGATTATTTTTTTCCATTTTATACATGAGTATTCTGGTAATCGGCACATTTCAGAGTCTAATCTACAATAGGTATTATGGGACCAGGAATTAAGTGAGAGGGATTCAGGTTTATACAATTCCCGCATCAGTTACAAAGCAGTGGTTTCAGTAGGACAATGTGGGCATAGGATAGAATAGTCTATAGAAAGTGGCCAATGGGAAATTAAGAGAAAAAGTCAGATGTAATTCATTGGTTGAATGTACCAGATATTCTGAAATTAGGTGTCTGTGATCTAGAAAATGTGTGTACTTGGTGGTAGTAAAATTTGCTGAGACTCTATAACTCTGTACTCAAAAATTAGTTATAAACCTCTTGGTTCATAAGGAAATTGTTATTTATAAATAAAAAGTTTTGTTTACTATGAAGAAATAAATAAATCCCTCTTACGAAGTCAAAGATTTTCAGCCAGTACATTACTATATATGAAACTGGAATCTAAACTGTTTCTGAAGCAAAAGCAAGTTAATGTTAACTATTTTAATATTATATCCTGGTTGATATCATCAGGTTACCAGTTTTGTGTGAAGCAGAGACCCACATGACGATATTATTATGGCCCTGCTGCAGTGAAGTGTGGAGTCTTAATCACTGGACTGCCAGGGAAGTCCCATCCATATTATTACCAATCTGGATATTGATTGAAGTTAGCTAAGCCTTATCTTATCAGATATCAGAGGTTAAGGAAGTTCTGCCTACAGGTATGACAGATCTTAAGGGATAACTTAAGATCGTTAAGAAAACTGAGGGTATAAATATAACAGATTTGGTCATTCAAACAAGTTACATTCTTCTCTGAATGGATTTTTTTTTTTAAAGAATTAGTTTACTGGGAATTCCCTGGCAGTCCAGTGGTTAGGACTCGACACTTCCACTGTAGGGGGCATGGGTATGATCCCTGGTCAAGGAACTAAGATCTGCATGCCCCACGGCCCAGCCAAAAAAAAAAGGAATTAATTTATCAACTGAGCCCTGAGCCCTATTACTTGTTAGGCATTAGGCTAAGTGCTGGAAATACATAGATGAGTAAGAATATTCTTGCCCTATAGGATTTCACTATCTAATGGGAAGACATAGATAAACTGCTAGATACAATACAAGGAGGCATGAACCTACAGCTGTGAGAGGGTTGAGTCCTGGAACGGCATTATTCATCCTTCTGGCCTGACTTCCAAACGAACGTTTACTTTCCACTTGAAACCCAAATCTCCTTATTTTTAAATTTTTTGTTCCTATGTACCCTTCACCCAGTTTTCCCCTAATGTTGACATCAAAACTAAGAAATGAACATTCGTACACTGTTGTAGTAAGTTGTGCCCTTTTTGTCCCCAATCTGAGAATTCCTCAGGCTTGCCTTGACTTTCAGAAACTGGACACTTAAAAAAAAATTTTATACAGTTTTTAAAGGTTACACTCCATTTACATATATTACAAAATATTGACTTTATTCCCCATCTTTTTTTTTTTTTTTTTTTTTTTGCGGTACGCGGGCTTCTTACTGTTGTGGCCTCTCCCGTTGCGGAGCACAGGCTCCAGATGCACAGGCTCAGCAGCCATGGCTCAGAGGCCCAGCCGCTCTGTGGCATGTGGGATCTTCCCGGACCGGGGCACGAACCCGTGTCCACTGCATCAGCAGGCGGACTCTCAACCACTGCACCACCAGGGAAGCTCGGTACTACTTTTAAATGGAAAAATAAATCCTTTTTCTAGTAAATACTAAAGCCTTGCCCTAAGGTGAAATGAAGGGAAGAACATAGTAAGTTCATCTCAGTAGAGGTTTGTTACTGAAGTAGCCATAGGATGTTGTTAAAAGGTAATTGCTCTACAGCAAAAGCTTGAGAAGGGGATTCTAAATTTTTATGAGACTCAGTGGATATCAGGGCTTGTGGTTGGTTGGTTGTTTAACCACTATATTGAGATTTCCCATTCAGAAGCAGTTTATAATTAACAAAGCAAAGGTTGAGAAGACTTTTTTGGGCTTGTTTAGATTTTGCATCTTTTAGAATCCTGCCCCCAATTTTAAAATTAGGGAAAGGGGGCCAAGATAAAATTACATTTCTGTTTTGTGAAAAGTAATAAAAGAACTCATTGACAGAAATGGTATTTCACTGAAACGTTGAATGTTGTTTTTTTTACATAACCATTTGGTGTATAGTAAACCAGAGTACCTATTCATGAAAAAGCCAAAGGGGAAAATGCCTTAAAAAATATTATAGATACTGAATAAAGGGGGATCAGTGAAGTTTACCCAGGCCTCCCCTAAAAGCCAGGATTCTAATTCCTCTTCAACGAATTATCTTCCCATCCAAAACCTGGGCTGCTGCCCCGCCCCCCCAACCCCCCCCAATAAGGGGGCCTGTATTCCCTCCTGAATACTAAGTGAGCCATTCAGCGCTTAACTCCACAAGTAACACAGAGTCCTGGCAAATTACGTGGTAGGTAAACATAGGAACAGGATACAGAATAAGTAAACATGAACAGGATACAGCTCTCTTGCGAAAAACAATTTTTAAGCCAATATTTAACAAATGTTACCCCCTAATGAAGCACATTTATCGGTTTTTCACAAACATTTGTTTTGTTTTAATACAAGTTCAACGCACACTTTTATCGTTTGCAGACATTTTATTCACTTTTACTTTAGCATTTGAGTTGCTTTGTTCTATTTAAATTCCTCCAGTTTTAAAGTGCCCCTAGATAATTTTATAACAATGTTTCGAATTAAGAAGAGAAAAGGCTGCATTAAGTGTATCAAGGGTCAGCTTTGAAAAGATACTTTGGTTTCGCTGTTATGTTGAAGGAAAATGCTTGTATAAATCTATTAAGCAGTTAAGTACTAGGTAAAATGGTGCTTTTTTCTGATTTCTTAGAGCTCTTTTGTTTTCTTCGCCATTAAGCTTATTCTGGGTTCGAAACAGGGTCTGCTCCGCAGATAATGATGCATGTGGTGGTAATGAAAAAAAAAAGAAAAGGAATTTTAGAAATGCCTAGGGAAAAACTTTTAATGATTTTTGTGCAACCATTGTGGGTTGTTGCTTTTTGTTTCTTGAAAGCTCCGAAATCTCTCACACCAGGTGTTCCTCTTTCCACTACAGAACTTGGAGCCGTCCCACCGGGATTCCACCTGTCTCCCCTTTCAGCTCCCGAAGTTTCCTTTCTCGAAGGCGTAGGCGGCATTTCTCCTCGAGCGGATTCAACTGGCTTTTCGCGGAGGCCCGGCTCCACGTGACCTCCCCTAACACCTGTACAGCCACCAGCTCACAGCGCCCCCATCCTCTCCGCCAGGTACAGACCCGGCTTGGCTCCTCCTCCCCCAGGAGGTCACGGTCCGGGTGCGAGCCTCGTTCGGGCCGGCAGGGGAGGGGCTGAGCTACGGCCCCGCAGCCGCTGGAGCCCTTGCAGCCGTATTATCACATGACTCGACGGCGGCGGTAGCCTTGGCAGCAGCTGCGCCGGCTCCGCGGACTCGCCGGGTGGGCTCAGTTCCGCTCACGCAGGAGTCGAGCGCAGCAGGCGGGGAAGGGATCTGCTGAAGCTGCGGCCTCCCAGCCGCTCCCGGAGCGCTCGGCATCTCCCCCGGCCCGGTCGGCCCGCTCCATGCCGCTCCATTGCGGAAGTGTAGCGGGGGGAGGGGGCGGCGGCGGCTGCACGGAGCGCGGGAGGCCGGAGCTCGGCCCCTTGCAGCACTAGGCTCTGGGAGCAGCGCGGCGCGCCCACCGGCCCGGCTGCCCGTGCGCCCGCCGCAGCCTGCATGCCCTGCGCTGCGCCTCGCCCGGCCCCAGCCGCCGCCCACTGCTCGCACCGCTGCTGCCGGGCGCCGGAGTAATATGCTCACTCGAGTGAAATCTGCCGTGGCCAATTTCATGGGCGGCATCATGGCTGGCAGCTCAGGCTCCGAGCACGGCGGCGGCGGCTGCGGAGGCTCGGACCTGCCCCTGCGCTTCCCCTACGGGCGACCCGAGTTCCTGGGGCTGTCTCAGGACGAGGTGGAGTGCAGCGCCGACCACATCGCCCGCCCCATCCTCATTCTCAAGGAGACCCGGCGGCTGCCCTGGGCCACTGGCTACGCAGAGTGAGTGCAGCGACACCGGCGGCGCCCCTGCTCTCCTCGCGGCCCTTCCCCGCACGCTTCCAGCCCTCCTCTCTCCTTGTTCCTCGGCCCCAGGGCCCTCCGCTGGCCGCTGGCGTCCAGGCCTCGGCGGGCACCTCTTTACTGACACTGGCCATTTCTCTCTTCTCCCACTCCCCTTTCCCCCAACCCCGAGGGCGCGGCGTCTCCAGCCCGGGTTTGGGTGGTAGATGGGTGGGTGGCAGCGCTGGACCGTGGGAAAGCTAAGGCTGGACGCGGCTGTGAATCTGGTGGCTGTGACACTTGGAAGAAAGAGCGTGGAACAGCTCTGCTGAAGTTTGAAACACAGAAGGGAAATCTGGTATCTGTGCTCCCATTACCCCCAAATCTTTGTGCCTCCGCGTGTAGTTTGTGAGGTAGAGCTTGGAGGAACTGTCCCTGCGCCAGGGTTTACGGGGTGGGGCGGTTGTCCGAGCCCTGGAAGCGGCCGCGGCCCCGTGCTTGGTTGCACAGTTCAGAAGGTCTCAGTTTCTCTTATTTCAGCCTAAGAGCTCATTCGCTTGTCCTTTAGCAGGTAGGAAAACCCTGCGCCTTTAGTAAACGCCAATATTGTTTCCCCCTGTCCTTGGGGAGGGGGAAACTTCTTCCAGGTGTCTAATGATAGCATTTTGGTAATCAGTTTTGGCAATTAAGCGAGAGTTTGAGTGATCTACTATTTCAAGAACCGGTTGAGTTAGGTTGACGACCTGGAGTGGAACTGGGAAAGGAGAGAGGAAGGATTTTAATGGACTTCCCCCAACCCTACGGCTACTCTTCCATTCACCATTAATGACCGTTTTATGAACGTTAGGGTAGTGTTTCTTCCCCTATTCAGCGTTATGAAACTGGGAAACTCGGAAGGTGGAATTTAGCAGACCAGAGTTCCGGGATTAATAATGACCAGGTGGGTGTGCAAAAGTGCACGCAAACCCTTGGTGCCTGGCACACCTGCCCCTTTTCCTTTAACTTCATCCGCTCTATTATCTTGGCCCTCCCTTACCAGTGCACAGCGTCGCCCGCTGATTGGTTCATCGGGGAACCAATCAGCTCTCCCGACGCCTGGGCGCTTCGATGCTGACCCTGTTCTGGTGTCCCGGATACCCCCGAGCAGGCCTGGTTCCCGACGCTCCGGGTTCCCGGGTGAGGGTTGGTTTGGGAGACGCTCTTCCTAGAATCTCGAATTCTCTTTTCCTTTGCCTTTCATCATACAACCATTTCTCCACCGGCTGAAATAGAAAATATATATAATTGGGGATAGATGACTGGAGTGTGTAAAAACAGTGAGGACACAGAAGTGAGAGTGATAGGTGCTAAAACAATAAAATTTAACACATAATAAAGGGCAAAGCATGGTAGAGAACGGTGAGGTTGGGGAGGTAGAAAATATCATTATACGTTTCAGGAGAAAGCCAAAGCAAAAACACCTGTGTGAGGGAAAAGTGCCTGCCAAAACACCAAGTACTGTTTCTCGATTGAAAAAAAAAAAGTTTAAACGACCATTTGGACCTTTGCAAGGCCAAAGGCAACTTGGAGGCATACGGTGACCTACAGTTCTGTGGGTGGGGGACCTCGTGCCTGTCAAAAACCTAAATGTGTAGGGCCCATTGTCACTCCAGTGGGTTCCCCAGGGCAAGGGCACCTATGTGAAAGGGCAGAGAGATAAGAAGAAAGATGTTTAAAACACAGAATGTGGAAGCTACTTGGACACGTAAAAGGAGTACCTCAGTTAGCAGGAAGGAGAGGAAAGGGGAAAAAAACAACTCGTTTCAAAATGTTTGGATCCTATGACAAGCACACGATGTGCCAAGGGCTGTAAAGAATATAAGGGAATCTGAAATGAGACGTGTGGGAGGCGTATAGCTTCCTTATCTCTAAGAAGCTTATCTTACCCTAGTCTAGGACACGAGGGAGGTTCAGTTGTAGGTTCGAAAGGCCACTGTAAGATGTTTAATTATTAAAGCTAGTTATAAAAGTAGTACATACTTGTTAATTCAAGCAGAGGCCTGTATACAAATGTTGTCTTGTCACTTCCCTCTGTCAGATGTTGTACTGTACCACTTCCTCAAACTTTGAACTATAGTTTATCTTCCTGCAAAAATACATCCTGAATGATCAAAATGGCTGAAATAGGGAAGACGAGAGACAGACAAGTAGGAACTGTGGTTATGGTCAGAGGCCACTTCCAGTAATACTGCCCAGGATATACTGGGAGGAGGAATTCTCTTTGTTCTGGAACGTACCTTAGAGGGATAGGATTGGTAGGAAGATTGCTCAGAGTGGGGATCAGAGCGGTGCTCAGAGTCCCAGCTTGAATCAGAAGCGGTTTGTTTCCATAAAGTGAGCTACTTTCTAAGCCTTCCTGGGGAGGAAGAATTGGCATCACTTGGTGACTGAGGAGTTAGAGGAGAGTTGAACTCTAGTGTTGTTGAACTTTTGTATGGTAGGAAAAAAAAAAAAAAGGTGAGGGTTTCCCTGTTGGCGCAGTGGTTGAGAATCTGCCTGCTAATGCAGGGGACACGGGTTCGAGCCCTGGTCTGGGAGAATCCCACATGCCGCGGAGCAACTAGGCCCGTGAGCCACAACTACTGAGCCTGCACGTCTGGAGCCTGTGCTCCGCAACAAGAGAGGCCGCGATAGAGGCCCGCGCACCGTGATGAAGAGTGGCCCCCGCTTGCCACAACTAGAGAAAGCCCTCGCACAGAAACGAAGACCCAACACAGCAAAAATTAATTAATTAATTACTAAACTCCTACCCTGAACATCTTAAAAAAAAAGGTAAAATGGTCTATTTTTTGCAACATATTGTTAATCCCTTTAAGAAGGAGATACTCTGTAGGTTATAGAACTAGAGAATTAGCTTAAGTGATCCCTGTAAGATTTGGGGATCCAGAAACAGAAGTCCCTCATTTATTCAGTATTTATTGGCATTGTGCGAGGTGGAATTTCCTGCTCCTCAGAAAGCCTCCTGTTGTGGCTGAGAAGTTTAGCCATTTGATTCAGGGCTGTATGCTAGGTTGTAAAGCATTGTAGTTACAGATAACATCCACGGAGCTAAAATCTTTCCAAAAACATTGATTAGCAAGTTTTATTTTTTAGTTTGGTGTTGAATCACTGACTTAGCCTGTTAGACCTGCTCAGAGAGAGCCCATGGGAAACAATAGTCGGACCCAGAGACCTCACATGGTAGCTGCTTCCTTTCTTTTCCACAAGTTTAAATAACCACCCAAGTGCTTCAAGGACCCGGAAGTCAGTTCAGTTTTTAATAGGTTAGAAGTGCATTTTGACTTTTCTTCTTCTTGACCTTTTTCCCAACCTCTTTCCCACTGATGGTCAGTTGGATGTAGTGGATGTGGAGTTTGTGCCTGAAACTACGACAGTAGATAATGCAGAGAATATGCAGTGCTCTGTATATGAAAGCATCATATTCAAGTTTTATCAGTGGTAAATTTCTTTGCTTGTACAGAAAGAATAAATCATAATTATAGTATTATCTTATTTAGATTATATCTGTAACTATGCAATTTTTTTCCTATTACCTTTCTTATAAAAGTGCCCCAGACGTGGGTATTTAAAGAAAGCTACTTTGAGAGTTTCTGTTAAATGTGCATTATATAAGTTCTTTCTGCCTCACGAAGTTCAAGATTGTGAAAATTTTGTTGAAATTTAACCTTATTTAAATCCAGCAAACGGCCCACAAGTATTTGGATTTATTTTGGAATCTATAGGCTCTTCCATCTCCCCAGTCATTGGCACTAATTAGCAATTACGAATAAATTGCATTAGTTGGCTGTGTATTGTTTTTTTTGACATCTTTATTAGAGTATAATTGCTTTATAATGGTGTGTTAGTTTCTGCTTTATAACAAAGTGAATCAGTTATACATATGTTCCCATATCTCTTCCCTCTTTCGTCTCCCTCCCACACTCCCTATCCCACCCCTCTAGGTGGTCACAAACCACCTAGCTGATCTCCCTGTGCTGTGCGGCTGCTTCCCACTAGCTATCTATTTTATGTTTGGTAGTGTATATATGTCCATGCCACTCTCTCACTTCGTCCCAGCTTACCCTTCCCCCTCCGTGTCCTCAAGTCCATTCTCTAGTACGTCTATGTCTTTATTCCCATTCTCTAGTAGGTCTGTGTCTTTATTCCCATCTTACCCCTAGGTTCTTCATGACATTTTTTTTTCTTAGATTCCATATATATATGTTAGCGTATGGTATTTGTCTTTCTCTTTCTGACTTACTTCACTCTGTATGCAGCTCAATAACAAAAAAACAAACAGCCCAATCCAAAAATGGGCTGTGTATTGCTGATAGAGAAACCGCTATTTCTCCGACCGCAGAGCTCAGAAATCCCCTGCCCTTTGTTTTTCCCTTCTGACCTCTAGTACACCCACCCCTCTTACACCTGGTAGCAGAGCTCCTCCCTGGGAACTCCCTCTTTGACTTTTGCAACTGAAGAACCTTGAGGTTCTCCACTTCTTGTTGGATAAGGAGGAAAAGAAATGAGTGGGGTGTGGTGTTAGGGGGCTTTCACTTAACAGAGCTCTCCATAGCACTTTTCTGCAGATCCGTGCAGAGTAGCCTAAAATATTTCATCTACCTTTCTACTAACCTGCAGAAGGTATTAATTTCCTATTTGAAAGCAGGTGGCTAAGCTCTCCTCCATTTTTCAGATTATAAGGAAGTCGTCCCCTCAGGGGTGGAGCTCCTGGGCTGTCCTTTTTCTTAGAAACATGGATCAGCTTCCTTCAAAGACTAGTGATGCTTCAGGTAGAGGATTTAATTATCGCAAGGGGTTGTGTTTATCCTGTGTTGCAGCCCCAGTTACATAGACATCGTCTCTGATTTTGCCCCACCACACGGTGCTTCCTTATTATATCAACAGTTACATCCATACCGACTGATAACTTAAAACTGACTGCATGATAGAATTGTTTTCTAAAAATGTATAATGTTATTGAA